AACCCATCCTCCCACCCCCCTCCCCTCTAGAACCCTCAGTTTGTTTTTCAGAGTCCATCGTCTCTCATGGTTCATCTCCCCCTCGGATTTCCCCCCTTCATTCTTCCCCTCCTGCTATCTTCTTTTTTTTTCACTGTCAGTTCTATGCCATGTAAATTGCGCTCTCTCTCTCTCTCTTTAAAATGGAGGAAGGGGTCTGACTAGAGATCTTTGCTAGATACAAACCAAGTTTACGAAATTTGACCCATACATATCTTAGATGGAAGTGGGTCTGCACACTTCCAAATGCCAAGGTCTGCCCAAGGATGAAGCCCAACTCTTCATAAAGGCTTCAGGGCCTCAGCCCCAGGCAGGTCCAAAGTGCTGTCTAGCCACACCCCATTCCCTTGGCTTTTCAAACAGCACACTAGTCCCCATTCCTTCCATCAGGTCACACACCTGTGTTCCTGACTGCTACTGAGGACTTCCCCATGCTGTCCCACTTGGCAAACACCTGCCTATCAATCAAGTTTCAGATTGAGACCTCATCAGAGAAATCTACTCCAAATGTTACCAGCTTTCCCGAGAGGGGGCTTGCCCATTAGCAGAGTCCTTATCACTCCGTGGGTGACTATCACTTACTTAGCCTCCTCCTGTGAAGCCTATGACTTCCAGGCAGAAATTTCTATCAATTCCAATAGCAAAGCTTAATCCTGGGCACTGAGTAGATATCAAAGCTATAGGAGTTCATGAAAATCCCTAAGATATATAAATGCAAGCACCTGTTTCTAAAATAATTTTGTAACTGTATCTCTGTGGAGGCACTTCTTTTTTAGTGTTAGATATAAATTAGTGTTAGACATAGGGTGATGAATAATGTGGAACTGATGTAAGAAAATAAAACTCCAGAATAAGAAACAAATGAACTAAGAAGTGATGATAGTCTTTACGTGGTCAACTGAATAATTATATAGCAAGGAAAGGGAATATTACATTTACAATTTACATTTTACAATCAGCAACACATAGGCTGTGTGAACTGAATTCTCTTTTATTCATTTCACTTCTTTGCCAGTGCTGCATCCCCAATTTATGGATAACATGTTTTTTTTATGTGAGTCACCCATAAATATAATTTTACCCCTACATAGAAAATTTTATATCATCAGAGAAAAGATAAACACTTTTAATATCTGGCAATGAAAAGAACTGATTTTGCTACTAATTCTGGAGAGATTATTTCTATCTACAGAACATTGCAATGAAAAGACAGCATCTAAGTCAGCATTTTGGCAATTCCCCACCCTCAGCCTCACCTCCCCCAAATCCAGGAGCCAGTGTGCAGCAGTAAAATACAAAGAAGCCGCCCAGCATACAAGAGTTCCTGCCATCACTGGGTCCACAAATGCCAATGTGTGCTCTTAGAACCCTGCATACTCCTCTCAGGGAGCCACATCACGGCCTGCAATACCTCATGGGACACTTTTATGCTAATGTATTCCAGCATTCCAACACTTTCTTCATAGCTAAGCACTTTTTACAGGGAAGGCCTTCTTTCACATTGCAGTTACTTCTGGAGCTCATTTTGCTTCTAAATCTGTGAAAATACCCTACTCAGGAAAATCATATACTTGATGCCATACTTTCTCCTGCCAAAAATAAATAAATAAATAAAAATAAGGCAGTTTATTTACCCCCTGAGTTCAAACTGAAGAGCAAAGTATAAACTGGGTAATCTCAGATCCTTTCCTAAGAAACACTAAAAGGCAGCTCTTTGGGTTCTTGAAAAACCAAACCAAAAGTTAAAAAGCTGTCATTTATATTTATCCTTAATATTAATGAAGTCAGATATAGCCAATGACTGCCTAATTGCAAATAATCTCATCCGAAAATCTATGTGCATTAAATATGTGTGTGGAGAAGGTGTGGATGAGATGCCTTTTAAACACTAGAGCCATGTCTCACTACTAGGGTCACAAATTCCACTCCTTGATTTTTTAAAATCATTTTCAATATTTAAACTACCAATCGCTGCTATAGATTTAAGAAGTCCATTGTGAGTTTAAACCTGCATGATAAATCTTGAACAGAAACTCATGACAAGAATGTAAGTGAGAACTGATATAAAGGTCTTCAAATCAGAAAAGAGCTTCTTACCATGTTTATTGATGACACAGGACCAATGCTGTTAACATAGATGTCAACGTCAATTACAGTCGGTTTTACTGTGGAGAAAAATACACGTGTGTTAACACTTTGTGCCAGAGAGACTGAGGAAAGCAGTATTCAACTTCCTTTGACTCATGCACTAACACCTCATGGGTATGTGAAAAAGGGGTGGGTTTTTTTTTTTTTTTTGGATTTGCCTTGTAGTTGCAATTCAAACCCTGCCTCTCTTCCTTTTTTAAAATTCTCAAAGGATTAGAGATTCTTACTGGTATTTAACAAATTCTTGGAAAACAGGACATTTATACATTGCAAGTTGCCAGGAATAGATGACTGTAAAGATATCCTGCAATATTTGTTAAGCTGATTATATGGCAAAGAAAATATAAGACAATAAATGTTAAATGGTAAAAGACACTGCATAAGCAACTTAATGTCAACGTTTTCTATAAAGCCAAACCCCCAGTGATGAGTAATATCAGAGACAACTCCAGTCCCTTATCCATCACCTGACTTCTTAATTGTTCTAAAGCAAGGTGACTCAAAGCAAAGATTGGAGAGTGTATGCATCAGAGAAGAATAAGGAATACTGGTTATTGTTATAGGAAAACCTAAAGACACATACACGTATCACAGATTTAAAATCCTATAATTAAAAAATAAATAACACTTTTGTAAGTCAAGGAATTACAATTTCAACTACGAAGGCATAAAATGTATAGATGAGAGATTGTAATCCAACATTGTGCAGCAGAGGTAAAATTGGCTCATTTCCCCTTAAAGAAAACCAATAATGAGATTGCAGAGCCGGCCAACCTCTGAGTCAGGGTTAATGCCCTCCGAAAAGAAGGAGGTTCTCTTCTCTGAACTTAGCAACTGATAAAGTGAATGACAGCACCAAGTTCAGAATATTTCTTCCCCAGAGGAACAGGAGAAAGACTCTGAACCTTTGCATATAAAACAAATCATTTCAGATACAAGAGTGTTTGTATCTGCAATTATTTCGATAAGCTTCCTTCAGTTTTGCTAAATAACCAATCATTCACAAATGGACTTCCACACTCTACTTTCAGAACTATGAGGGGTACTTCTGAGCTCACAGTCTCATTAAATTGCATACCCAGCAGTCTGTTGCCTGAGCCACATTTTCCAGACCTCCATGAAAATGAAAACAATGATTATGAATTTGAGCCAACCACTCTAACATCTGTCAGGACAACCAAGTCATATTGGCTTCAAAGAGCTGTTGGCATTTTGGAAAACATCCCAACACAATTCTATGTATTATGTATGTAGTGCTTACATTTCCTAAAAGGACTGTTCTTCATTTTAGACAGATTTGTTAACTACTATAAATAGTAAGTAGCATCTTTCTTCAACTTCAATGAATTCAGCAAGTTTTCTGTCCCCAGACACCACATAACCTTTGGTGATGTCATTCAAAAGCCTGTGTTAAGTCAGTCAATTGAGAACCTACTTTTTTGCAAGAGACTTTTCTGGTTGTTTTATGGTATTAGAGTTTAGGCTTCCAGAGCTCTTACTCTCATTAAATTAAAAAAGACCTACAGACATAAAACCTTAACTTGAAGTGGGAAGTGCCAAATGAGTATTAAGTGCAATAGTGCAATAAAGGTTTTAAGGGATAACAGTTTGGAATAAACACACACACACACGGATGCACACATGTGCACACAAAACCAGGGGAAAATTAACTGTTTTAAGCAAATGCTCTTTTAAGAAGCATCATGCTAAAGTAAAAGGAGCTTTTAAGAAAGTGGCTCTGACAGTGGCACCCAGGAAAGAGCCTGGCCACAGGTGGTTCATGGTTTACAATTCAAAGACTCAACATTAGGCCCTGACAAATGATCTTTGACAAGGGAGCCCAGACCATTCAAATGTGAAAAGGACAGTCTCTTCAACAAATAGTGTTGGTTAGACTGGATATCCACATGCAATGGATCAAAGACCGAAAGGTAAAACCAGAAACTACAAAACTCTTAAAAGAAAACATGGGGGAAAACTTCATGACACTAGAGTTGACAATGATTTCTTGGATATGAACACCAAAAGCACAGGCAACAAAAAATAAATAAATAAATTAGACTATATCAAAATTAAAAACTTCTGTATATCAGACACAGTCAACAGAGTGGAAAGGCAACACACAGAATGGGGGAGAACATTTGCAAATCACATATCTGATATGCGGTTAATCCACAACAGAGAAAGAACTCCTGCAACTCAACAATAAATAAGCAAAAAAACCCTGATTTAAAAATGGACAAAGGACTTAGACATTTCTTCAGAGATATACAAATGACCATTAAGCACATGAAAAGATGCTCAACAGCACCAGTCATTAGGGAAGTGCAAATCAAAACCACAATGAGATACCACTTCACCTCCATTATGATACCACTTCCCTTCCATGAAAAACAACAAAACAGAAAATAACAAGTGGTGGCAAGGATGTGGAGAAACTGAAACTCTTGCACATGGTAGGAATGTAAAATGATACAGCCACTGTAGAAAACAGTATGGCACTCTTCAAAAAAAATTAAACATATAATTACATGACCCAGTAATTCCACTTCTGGCGATAGACCCAAAGGAATTAAAACCAGACATATATTTGTACACCCATATTCATAGCACCATTATGCACAAAAACCAACAGGTAGAAGCAACCCAGTGCCCACAGAGGGAGAAATGGATAAACCAAATGTAGCATATTTATATGGAATATAGTTCAGATTTAAAAAGGATGGAGATTCTGACTGTTTTGTATTCTTTTATGTGATGGTTAGTCACATGTAGCCACAAGAGAAAAGGCTCAGAATAACAAAGTTTATTATATTCACAAGTCCTAGAGACTGGACATATGACTTGCAGGTCCACATGAGAAAGAGACCAGAGTGGTCAGGAGGCAGAAGCCAGGGCAAGGTAGAGGGAGAAGGCACTTATGCCACAATCATAAATGGGGTTTCCATGGGAGAGACACAGCAAGGCAGGATAAACAACAAACATTGGCTAGTTTGAATAATTCCAGTGGTTTCTAGTGGTCCTGGGATGATTAAGGCAGAAGAATATTGCTTCTTGTAGTGTAAAGGCCAAAAAGAGCGACTACAGCTCTGGACTGGTTTGCCTGCATACCAAAATATACTCCTTCCTGGCTAGGCCCTTTGCTATCTCTAAGAATTGGCTAGCCCCAGAGGAGCAGTCTGTCCTCAATCAAGAAGTTTTTAAGATATCAAAACATCATAATATTCAAATTATAAATATGAAATGTAAAATTAAAATATCCATGTGTGTTTATGTATACATATATACAATACAATGACACATGTTACAACATCGATGAACCTTGAGGATATAATAATAAATGAAATACTTCAGTCAAAAAAGACACATACTTTGTAAGTCAACTTCTATGAGGTACTTGAAATAGTAAAATTCACAGAGAGAGAAAGCAGAATGGTGGTTGCCAAGGGCTGGGGAAGGGAGGAGTGAGGAGTTAGTGTTTAATGGTTGCAGAGTTTCAGCCCTGCAAGATGAAGAGTTCTGGAGATGAGTGGTGGGTGGTGATGGTTGCAAACAATGTGAATGCATACAATAGCACTGAACTGTACACTTAAAAGTGGCCAAGAGAGTAAATTTTATGTTATGTATATCTTACCACAATAAAAAAAGATTAAGCTCTGGATAGTTGGTAGAAGGATGAAGAGTTACACAGAGGTAAAGAAGCTAGAAATGGGGAGAGAGTGGGAGGGGATGTGATTTTCTGAGTGAAAGGAGGCAGATTCAGTTGAAAAAAAGTATAAAATAGGGCTGATGATACTGGGTCCCATACGTGTCACACAAAAATATATTCACTTTTCAATTCTTCATTTGAATTCTATCTTACCTATTTGGATGTCATTATTACCTTTAAGTTCGGAATGAGTATGTCTGAGAAGAATCACAAACTCATAAACTGTGCAGCATAAAGGAATGTGGCAAAGATGCACTGGGTTAGCTGTGACAGGCATCAACCACATTCATTCCCTTGAAAGATATGTGGCCCAGATAGGTGGAGCAAGATGGCGGAGGAGTAGGAACCTGGATTTCGTCTGGTCTCAGGAATTCAGCTGGATAGGGATAAAACCATCTTGAACACCTGAACTCAACAGGAGATGGAAGAAAAGAATAGCAACAACTCTCTGAACAGAAAAGCGACCACTTTCTGGAAAGTAGGATGTGCGGAGAAGTGAATCCGAGGTGATATTCGGGAGGATAGACGGTGGAGGAGGGGGCCTCCGTCGGCCACTTCTGGCAAGTGATAGAGCAGTGGAGCACAAAATCGGAACTTTTAGAAGTCGGCTCCGCTGAGGGACATCGCTCCAGTGGCTAAGCGGGAGGTGGAACCCTCGCGGGACAGTGTGGTCTCAGGACCCTCAGGGTCACAGAAAGACCAGGGGTGCCTGAGTGTGGCAGCGTTCCCGGGTATCAGAGCAGGGAAGCCGGCTGCAGAGACGGAGCTGAGGAGCAGGCTCTCAGCTCGGGGTTGCCATAAACTGTGATCCAAGGCACAGTCAGGCCACTGCTCCTCCAGCAGGGACCCAACAAGCGGCAGATCCGGGGAGACTCCCCTTCCCCCCCTGGGAGGAGCAGCGCAGGAGCACACTGCAGGGATCTGCTGGGTTTGGAGACTCCACACTGAGTCGGGTGCCAGAGATAGAAATGCTGGGTCACAGGCTCAGTGAGCATAGAGTGTGGCCAGAGACTGGGGAGAAGGGAGTGATTGACTGCTTTTCTCTGGGGGCGCATGAGGAGTGGGGCCTCGAGTTCTTGGCTCCTCCAGGGTGGAGAGTGGGAGGCCGCCATTTTCACCCTCCTCCTCCAAAGCTGTACCGAAAGCTTGCAGGGAACAAAAGATCCCGAGAGCAAACCCGAGCAGATTACTTAGCCCAGGCGACAGGGGCGGGGGAATTCCGCCTCCAGGAAAGACATTTCAGAACCAGAGCAACAGGCCCCTCCCCCAGAAGATCAGCAAGAACAGCCAGCCAAGACCATGCTTACC